TAGGTTTGATGGCTCTCATCCATAAATTAACAATCATTTGACAATAATTTCTTTAACCTGGTCAACTATTTAGTTATTGTTTATATCAAACGTCGAGTTTGACTATGAACAAGGCGATTTATTGCCGTAACCACGTGTTACGTGCGACCAAGAGGTGATAAGAAATATCTCTTATTCCCTTCTTGTTGATACTAACGTCTATAGAATAACTGTTAAACAAATAGAAATGCTTTAACTTATTGATAGTTTAACATTCTCCTTTTTTTTCCTTATTCGAGGAGAGCGTCTCGGTCATTGACCGTAGAAGTCCCCCTTTTCTCTTTTACTAGGAAAATTCCTAGATTTGTACTGATCTAAAACAGAAAAAGGGTTTCGGACCTTCACAATTTTATTTAAAAAACGAAAATTACCTTTTAATTTAAAAGTTTGATCTAAGTTCATTTTTTTTATTTTCAACTCAATTCAAATCATTTTGTTGTTGTTGTTGTTGTTGTTGTGTGCAGTTTCCAGCAAACTTTAATAATGTTTTTCTATTTGTGAAAATTTCTACGTAATTCAAAGGTAATTTTTAATATGTATCTTACACAGCATTATTAATATGATTTTGGAGGTTGCAGAACGTATTAAATTACTTTAAAAATGAAAAATAATTATGTTTGATTTCGTGATATTTTGTATATCTTAAAAATAATTAATTCTGTCCCGGGAAACAGTTCACTTTTATCTCGTAATCCCGAGGAAATATTTCATATTAAAACAATTTAAATTGTTTTCATTTTTCGATTCCCTTCATCTTTAACCGTTAAATGGTTCATTTTTTTTTTCAAATTTTCAACTGAATTGAAAGAATTTTTTTTTTGTTATGTGCAGTTTCCAGCAAACTTTAATAAATTTTTTCTGTTTGTAAAAATTTCTATGTAATTCAAAGGTAATTTTTAATATCTATCGTACACAGCATTATTAATATGATTTTGGATGTTGCAGAATGTATTAAATTACTTTAAAAAAATGAAAAAAAATTATGTCATTTGACAATTTTAATTTCAATTTGATAGTTTCAATTTGATTATGACAATTGAAACTACTGTACTAAAAAATTATTTTTGAGTTCAGACAATCAGTTTCTCTCTCTCTCTCTCTCTCTCTCACTAATGACATAGAATAAGAATTAAATGTTAAAAATAATATTGTAATTCATAATAAACATAAACTTGAGTTACTATTACATAGAGTATTTGTATTTAACTACAAATCAGGAGGTTCATGCCATTAGCACCCAAAATATAAAAATGAAACTAACTTAACATGAGGTTCGTTGATGCAGAATTACCATTCTAATTTCAATTTTATAATAAGGTTAGAGAATTAATAATAAACAAACATTAACATAAAAATAAAATCAGTTTCATACAAAAGTCTAAATACTCTCTTGATATGATTATTGATTTCTTTGAACATGGTACAATCTTGAAACAGTCATGTTGTTCCCAATCAGCACCAAGAGTAACTAATATGGTTATATCCAAAATCATTCTTTATAGACTAGAGGTAATAGACTATAAGGAATTATTAACTTTTTTATAGTACTTATTATATATAGTACAATGTACTACTACTCTGTNATATTATTACTTGATGCGATTTTTTGCATTTTTGGCTGCGTTTTAGTAGGGTATGCCATGAGAAATTCAGTATATTATTATTATTTTTTATTTTTAATTGTAATTTATTATTTATACCACGGAATGAGCCCGGAACGCCTACTAGGTGGCGTCCCGGGCTACTAGAATATAGAGCGAAATTATCTAATAATTTTAATCTTTGTTGTTGTTTTTTGCCAAGGTCCTATATTCTAGGACCTTAGTTTTTTGCCCGGGCTCATCTGCTTGTTTTTCTTATAAATATCAAAATAAAAAAGGAATTTATGAAATGAGATTATCATGATGCGTAGCAAGAAAGAAAAAGGCCTATAAATGAAATCATATTTATCAACACGCTATGTATTAAAGATTAATTAGCTAAATTTAATTTATTTTGAACGATCCGAGGGACTACATAAGTATCAAAAATTTTGTTTCTTTGAGATATTTTTCTTTTCACATAAAAGTTGATAAATGTCTCTCTTCTTTCTCTTTATCAAGTGTTCTTTTGCAATATCCAATGCATCTTTATTTACCTGATCGGATTTAATATCTAAATCACAATTCTTATCTAGAAGCATCTTGACGATTTTAGTAAAATAACTATCGACGGCACACATCAAAGGCGTAAATCCGTCTTCGTTCTGTTTGTTAATATTTACTTCGGGATGTTCCAGCAACACAGTGGCAACATCCACCAAGCCTCTTCCCGCTGCGATGTGCAAAGCCGTATCTCCACGAGGATCTTGAGCATTGACGTCACTTCCTTTCTCTAGTAATTTTGCAACTAGTAACACCGAATTCTTTCTGGCGGCGTGATGAAGTGCGGTGCATTCGTATCTATCTCTTATCCCGAGATCGACGTCGTGTTTCAAAATAGCTAATGCCATTTTATAATTTCCGTTATTTATAGCAGTTGCTAAAGGAGTTTCTCCCAGATGATTTCTAACGTTTACATCGGGTTTACCGGATAAAAATATTTCCACGGTTTCCACGTCGTCTTCCTTTCCTTTCGCTAATATATGTAACGGCGTGTTGCCCATTACGTCTTTTAAATTTATATTACATCTCGGAACCAATTCTTCTAATATCGCTTTGACCTTCTCAAGAGAGACGGTTTTTATGGTCCTAGATTCGAGATTTCTTGTTAATATATGCAAAGGAGAACTGCCTGTCAGTTTATCTTGAATGTTAAAATTTGCATTCCGGCATTCTAGAAATAATTGAATAATTTCTTGATTAAAATTCGTCGGACGCATACAAGCGTGCAAAGCCGTTGTTCCTTGATGATTACACCTATTTACGTCGGCATGAGCAATTAATAAAGTCCTCACGATTTTATCGAAACCCCTTTTAGTTGCCTCGATTAAAGGGATCTTTCGAGAATGAATTTCTTCCGCGTTAGGATCCATCCCGTTATCTAACATTCTACGTACTTTTTCCTCGTCATTCTTACAAATGGCTTTATGAAAAATTCCTACATCAGGATCTTCTTCTGCCGCGCTACATTTTTTCTGTATTGATGTCAGAAGCGATCGATATTTCTTTTTTGAAGAATTAGCTCGAGTATCATTCAGATCGACCAACGATCTCGCAGAACAAACTGAATTACGTGTCTCGGACTTCATCGTTTGGTCCGATGTTATTTCTTTAACTTTTATACTCGACATGATTAGGACCTTTCGTATATTCGATAATCGATCAAACTGAAACGAACGGCTTGTCAATCGCTAATGTTTCGAAACAATTCTCAGCCTATAACAATGAGTAAGTTGCGCAGAATTATTTATTTCAAAAATATTTTACTAAATCTTAATCAGTCTGGAATATGGCAGATCAAAATATCCACTCATAATGCTATAAGAGGGGGATTTATTTAGAGTAAGCTCTGGAAAATGAAATTTGTCAATTTATGAGATTACTTTTCGCCTTATAAGCACAGTTGTATTAGGTGCATCCTAATTTTCATATAAATTTTAGGTACAAAAAAGAGCATCTTATAAGGCGAAAAATACGTTAATAAAATGAATCGCGTTCGTAACGCAATCATACAATTTGTGAAAGTTAATAAGAATTTTACAAATGTTTATAGATCAATGTATCAAGTAGGACTCTGATTTTCCTTCGGCACAATGAGAATAAGCGATTTCTACACAATTTCTAAACAAATATTTTCAATAAATTATTTAATTATTTAAACGGCGTGATCAGACCAAATCAAATGGTGGTTTATGCAGAAAACTGACGAATTAACAATAGACGAATTAACTGAAACATGCAATACTTTGATCGCTACGAAACAATAGTCATTAAACAATATAATGATTTTTTGCTATCTGTGGATGTGTTTTGGCATCAATGTTTAATACCGATGTTCTTGCACTTCATAAAGCTGAATAAACCTTAACTTTGTTAAATTTTGAAATAGCATAGTATAGGTTTTTGGAAGAGATACTGAAGATAAGAATTATAAAATTTGATAGATTCCGCTTAATTGGGCCACATCGGGGAATAGATCATTTGGCCCATTTATGCGGACTTTATCCCGGTAAGCTGAAAAAACACTTTTCCCGTAGTCTACTGTAATAATGTTAAACACAAAAAGAGAGATCTACTGGAAGATTAATTAATTTTAAAAAATGTTTATTTTTATTACAATCTTTGAAAAACATTGGAAGTAAATGTAAGCAAGCACGGAGAGAGAAAACGCTACCACTTGCCTGCAAGGCGTAGTGTGGTTATTTCAAATTTTTAAATAAATGATACCGCTAGATAGATTCGTAGAGCCCTAAAAATAGCAACCAGAGAAATCATAAGATAAAGCGTTCTTAATTTTTCAACAGTCCAATTTGGCAACCTTTGGCAATTGCTTTTTGCTTGAAATACGTCTAATGCAAGCAGCTAGACCCACCAGTGACCAAGCGGTTCCGTTCCCTGAACACTGGGAATTCGGTCGTGGGTTCGCGTTTCGCCAGGACGGCTGGCCACGTGGAGTTTTCTGGGTTTTCGCCACGTTTGTAACGCCTGATAGGGATTAGTTACCCTTAAAAGACCTCCCGGAAGGCATTATTCCCCGCGTAACGACCATCATAAACGCATACGATTACTATTACATGACAATTACGTCACACTTTACCACGGGGCGATATAGCGGAACACCATTCATATACATTTTATTACACGGAGAATTAGCATCAATACATTTAAAAATCAATAAACAATTCTAAGTTTACTATTCTCAGGAAATAATGAAGCAATAAACTTTAATATATTGAATAAAATGGAAACATGGAAATAATCTTTTATCTACGAATATAGCAATGAAAATAAATTTGAATAAAAACTTTAAAATATTTTCTTTCGTGGAACACTCGAGGTAGGTTTGCGGAACACTGGTTAAGAACCACTGTCCTAAAAGCTCATGCAGTGGGTGCCGTCATTGGAAGCGGTGGAAGCGCCGCTTCCCTTGTTTTTCTAAAAAATAAATACATATTAATTTTAATTATATGAAAATAATCGTACAATATTTTATTATAACCGCATTATGTATCTTATTACAAATTTCTATACTACATGTGAAAAAAAATAAGATTGCTATTGTATATTTGAATATAAGTGGCGGAGTGGAAGCACTGTATTGTCAGCTTCCAAACAGCCAGATTCGTGCATGCTCTTTACAGAGCATCAACCTCACCCGGTTTAGCTGGTGGAAGCCTAGGACCTCGAGTGGATGCTACACGTATACCGCATCCAATTCTATCCAGGACCGGTTCTGGGCTGTTAGCCGCCTGCCCGCTAGATATTTGGCCGCCTTCGCCCGATTATGTGAATCATGAGTAGATTTATAACTTAACCCAACCGATAAGAATTTACTGGTATGTTTTTATGATAGTTCTGTATAGTTGACAGAAGTTAAAAAAATTCATTAAAATATTTGATATATTTATTCTGCTCTCTCATCTTGTATTACTTATGGATTTCAATGTTAAACCAGTGATATTACGATTTCGTACGTCCCATCTTTAAGGGGATGTAGAAAAAAACGTGTACAATTCTTGTACAATGTTAAAAAATTAACTGTTACTTTGGTAGCATCATTTACAACTAAATTTAGTGAATGAGAGAGATGCACGAGGTACAGAAAAAGCTCTAGAATTTATTTTCCTTAAATTTGCTATTTATGTATCCGTTGTCATAAAAATTTGTCTTTCCACTTTTTTCCTGAGACTACAAATATTCGAGTACAAAGTAACCGGTTTCAACTTATTTCTACTTAAGAAATAGTTAAATCCACCATACTCAAACTTTTTTTCTCTCGGGCCACATACACAAGATAGCTATTACACGCGGCCGCAACATAACAATTATAATAAAAAACTTACTTAATTTCTCACTTACCCTAGAAATTTAGTGAGACTATTGATATTGCGAACATTTTTTCACAATTTCATTTAAATCTTTTTTTTTTTTTTAATACTCTTTCCTCCCTGTGGGCACTAAGAGGGCCTCTTATAGCAGGCACCATTGTGGGCCTGGCCGAACCCAGGCCCACAATGGTGCGACCGGGTGGTGAGGGACGGAGCCCGACATATCCGAACGGACCACTCCCCGAAAAATTCCTGGGGGATTCCCTGACCCGACCGGATTCGATTCAGAGCGGTAGGCTGCCACCTTGACCGCTCGGCTGTCAATTCATTTAAATCAGGTTTGTAACTGCTGCATGCTACTCGTAAAACGGCATCCAGGTGTGAATCAGTAAGCCAGTTTTTATATATGTTCTTTGCATATTTAATTTTGTGTCTGACGTTTCACATAGATACGTTGATGCAAACAACGTAAGTAAAATTTGAGCACATTTTTTACAGTCTTATATTGATCGGGCACTACTTTCCAGAAGTGGTAATTAATTCCAGAAGTCAGCGTAATTAATTTTCCGCTCTCTTTCACGTCCGGGCAACTCACAAAAGCACAGTGGGCACCAGGTTGAGTATGGTGGAGTTAAATAATCAAGAGATTAGGGAATTAGGGAGATAAATAAAACCCTGCTGAAAGAGCCGGAATATTACTTAAAAGCTTAACCGACCCAATCTCTAGCCGAGTACAGTGGGGAACTGATTTATTCGTAATATTAGACGTAATATAAACAGAAATTTTTCCAGTTCAACGAGAGTGACCGAAAAGTTGTAAATTTTGGAAACTTCCGTGGACACCTGGTCCTAAAACGAATTAGTTAGAAAACAAATGACTATTAAGTTTAACATATTTAGATTTTTACAGCTATAGTGAGAAACGTTTAAAATTTACAACACCCCTGTCGCGTCCTTTGAGATATACTAGTGATGCGACTAAAGAGGCATTTGACGTTAATCCGGTATGGGCACCCTCAGGATTTGTCAGCCTGCGTGCATGCACGCAGGCTGACAAATCGCACCGTACACCTAGCAGGACTGTTTCTCCACTCGTAGAGAGCTATTTGACTAAGTAGTTAAGATTTAAAAAGTAAAGAAGATTTTATGTTATTTTTCTGTACAGTACGTTTCTTTACAAAGCTATATTTAATTATAATATTGTTTAAAAGTATATTCATACAATTGAAGAATATTTTGTACCAGGTATGTATATCCACCACACATTTTATCTCACCAAGTAAGTTTTTATAATTTTATTTTTAATTTTAGCCCTTATATCGTGGCTAGCGATTCAGAATGTAATTGCGATATTTAAAATTTATTTTAAAAAAGCTTTGGCTCAAAATCATACAATGAAAAAGAATACATTATTAAAAGAGAAAGGCCAATGCCTAAGTTAAATATAAACATTTCAATAAAAAAAATTTTCCGACATTTTCACGATAAAATGGCTTTGTGGATGCATAAAAATGCAAAAATTTTGTTGGCTTGCTATTTTCAAATGAAATTAGTGTGTGGAATAAGAATGGCTTTGACAATTTAGCTGGCAAAAGACACGAAAAATCGTCGATTCTTTCGTATTTGAAGCAATTTGGAAATCGAAGCGGAATAGAATTTAACATTAGTAAATAATATAAAGTAAATATTAAAAATTATAACGAGATAGTTACGGCAAATAGATATATTTAAATTAATAGATGTTATATGTTTTTATCAAAGCAAGATTCGGCATTTAGAGGGCATAGGGAATCTATTGAATCTAATAATAGAGGTAATTATATTGAACTTCTTTATTTATTAAATATGTCAGATAAATAATCCACTAAAAATACATTTAAAGAATTAACTGATTGCCCCTGGAAGTCGGCTTCTTACAGAAACACAGCTTCCCTATCAACAAATGTCACGACACGCCACTGAGCTCATGCCCAACTACTTGATACAAGACAAGACAAGCAGCTAAGCAACCAACCAATAAATTTACAAAAATCATCTGGAAGAATAGTTACTAATAAAATATTTTTGAAATGAACGGATTATGCCATTGATTTGCTTAGCTGCTTGCCAGTCTCTTTCAGGAACCTTCTGTAGTATATCCAGTTCTGCTTCTGGAACTGGAACTGTTGAACTAGACGGTTCCTCATCGGTTTTATATAAGTTATATAATATAATGTTTCTCTCTGCTCCAAATTATTCTTGCTTAACTCGGTTTGATTTGAGTTTTTTATTCATATATGGCAACTTGACACATGGGCGATCTGCTGAGGGGAGAATGCCTCCCGGAATCTTTTATGGAAAACTGCCCCTATTTAGGTGTTACTAACGTGTAAACCCAGAAAACTCTATGTGGACAACCCGTTGGCGAGGCGCGAACCCACGACTAATGTTTTATCCACTCGGTCTCTGAGAAAAATATAGACTACCATGAAACCTAGACACCTTATCCCTGTCTTCATCTATCTTATTAGTCTAAACCCTTTGTCCGATCTGCACCAAATTTTTCATGTTCATTCTCTGAGACCCCGAGGGAAATATGACTTCCATGAATCTGCACGCCCTACTCTTCCTCCGATTTGGTTACCTTGACACTTCGTAAGTTTTCATTTTGTTTAGCGGGCAATGTTGCACATATCTGCTAGTTACTAATAGTAATAAAATAAACAATTATGAACTCTAATAAAAATACAAATTTTAAAAATATCGGTATAAATTTAATACACACTAAACTAATTTAATTATTCCTAAAAAACTCGTAAACATTTTCATTTAGTTCGAGTATACAAATCCGGATAGAGTTCAGTTCCTTCATTTCATTTCATGCTCGATAGAGGAGTGCTGTAGCCTAATTTGCTTTTCACTCCGGAAGAACAGAGGGGAAGATCGTTCAGCGACCGAAGAGGCGGCCTTATCGAAGACGACCAATCCGAGGAAGACAGAAGAGAGGTCACGAAGCGACCAAAGCCGGCCTTATAGGAGACGGCCCACGCGAGGGGGACAGAATGCCTTCCGGAAGGACCTTAAGGGGAAGCTGGCCCCTATTCAGGTGTCATCGGCAAGGAGGAAACCCTGAAAAACTCCCGCTGCGAGTTCAGTTCCGTAAAAAGCAGTGTTCTAAGTACAAAACGAAGAACGCGTTAGTAGTTTCTACCAGGAACTACCATTTCTACATACGGTCGAATGGTTAAAGTGGCAGCCTACCACTCTGGGGGACCCGGGATCGAATCCGAACGGGTTGAAAAATTCCCAGGAATTTTTCGGGGTGGTCAGTCCGAATATGTCTGACCCCATCTCTCACCACCCGGCTACCCCATTGTGGCCGGGTGGTGAGGCCTGGCCGAACCCATAATGACCCTGCTAAAAAGAGGCCCCCTTAGTGCCCACAGGGTGGAGAGTAAAGAAAAAAAAATAAAACCCATCTACAGGTAATCCCCGTATAACACGGCACTTCTATAGCACGGATTGACTCTAACACAGTTCCGGAATTGGGTAAAACCCTCGTACTGTACAACATGAAATGTAATAAAGGGTGCGTTCTTTTATACCTCCGCGCAAGCATTCTAATTTTTTCGTGGCTACTTTGAATACTCTTTCAACAAATAATCCATTTAATGGTTAAATTTTACAATTGGGACCCTTCTTTCGCCTCTAAAAGCTATTTTAGAATTATAAATTCTTCCATCACGATACTATCGATAGTATCGTATAGCGCTGCCATCTTTCTTTCTTTCACTGTCATTCCTAAATGCCTACAAACAGCAGCGCACTCCCGTTGTAGCGGAGACGCAGAGCGACCGCTATTAACGAACGCACCCAAAAACTGTTACCAGTTGATGGTACTCAAGCTGAGATCATCACATAGAATGAATAATCCTCTGATAAAATATTTACTTAAATAATAAATATTTTACCCATAAAAAATGAATAATAAATCCGATTTAAAGGATTTAATTTGGGTAAACGGACCAGATGAAGAAGACACTAAAATCAATTTTTCTCTCTTCCAACCTAACTTTTTAGGTCTAGCAAATTCAAGAAATATATAGAGAATTTTCTACTTTAAAACTATTCTACAGCTTAATTTGGAATAACTGACATAATTGCAACTAGAGGCACAGTCTAGTTTGCGTTCAATCACGATCATCAATGTCCCAAATAAACGGAATTTACTGTGTATATACAGTATATAAATAATAGGGGTCCAGGACGAATGGCGCCCTGAAATGGGGTACAAAAAAAAACCATTTTCATTCTGAAATTCTAAATTTTAAACTTAAAAATGAACCATTTCTATCTTATTATTATTATTATTTTTTTTTTTTTCAAAGAAAAAAGAAAAAAAAAGTCCAGATATAGTCTTGCATAGGGTACACGAAAAGATAGTAACATCATTGTATACGCCAGGGATGGCCAACACGTAGACACGATGAACAATGCAAATGAATGTTAACGCATGCGCATATAAAAATCCTAAAATTGCCCATATTCATAGTCGCCCGCAGACTATATTTTACCAAAAAAGTAGCGCCTAAGGGATAAAAGTTTGGCCACACCTGGTATACGCCATAACTAGATTTTTCCGAGTGGAGAAATGTCTCACACGCAAGTTTCAACGATTAACAAAGTCGAAGAGAACTCGATCCTTTAATTTCTTAATATCTATACTCTGAAAACAAAGGTGATATGGTTTTTCAAAGGTATCAAATATGTACCCGCATCTCTTCCATCGTGGCTGTTGCCAAATCTTCTAGGTTTGTTAACTTCTCTATTATTCGTTTATCTTGATTCATTAAGTCTTGTAAAAAATTTTATTTATGTAATATTTTTTATGCTAATGGTTAAATATACAAAAATAACGTGAAGTACACTTTACACATATGTAATGAAAATAAAAAATATCAAACCATTTAATTACAAATCATTTATTGATTTTATCAAAAATATTTTTGATACAACCGATTATCTAAAACAATTTTAACAAGACTGGGAGATGCTCAAATAAAATTTTTGATATGCCAGTCTGCAACATTGCAAATATATCAGTAATAAAACCTGTATTACATATTTTAGAGATTTAACATTTTTTCCCAAGAGTTTGAAATGCTCAATCTTTTTAAATATATTTAGATACAAATAGTCAAAAACAATGTATCCAAAAAAACAAACACTCTCCTTAATCAACTGGACAAGTTTATTCTAATATTATCAACAATTTGTATTTTTCTTTACTCAAACAAAATATTTGAAACATACATCACTATGTTAACAGAAATTATATCTCCAAAAGAATCCAACAAAACATTTAATACTCTCATTTTCATAACATTTCATGAATAATAAAATAAACAACCGTACAAAAAAAATCTTTAATCTTCACATAATTATCACAATACTAAGAGACGTCTAATTTAAACTGTTTCTGAAAATTGCTATCCCAATAGCTGTGGATTGTATAGCAAGTGAATGTAAAAAACTATCAAATTCTACTGTTTCTATGATAATAAATATTCAAATGTGTAAATGTGGCCTCTTCGGTTTTTGGAGGTATGTTTAAACAGGAATTTGATTAAATTTACATTCATTTGTGGTACAGATAACTATTTTTATTTTTCAAATACTTCTGTAATAAAATAACATTTCAATTTCATCTGAATATCTAAAATGTTTTAAAGTTTCAAGCCATTGAGCAAAAATACAAGGTTTTTAACATTTGTTTATTGTTTCCTCTTAAGTGAAAACATTATAAATGGTGTTATTGCTACCTGATTTAGTGCTTTACCTATGGCCTCCATAAATCTAAAATAAAATCAAGCTGAAACATTATTTGGCAGCCATTAAGCAAAATACCATGTTGAATAATACACCATTTTTCTAACAAACTTCGACAACAATTAGTGAACAGATATGACTTAAGTCCTCCTTTGTAAAGGACTACAAATAACAAATTACAATATATTATTTACAATCAAATATTAGTAGGCATTTAAAATGTTGCACCAATCGTGAAGTCACATAGTTGGAAGAAGCAAGTTTACACAATCAGAATATCTGATGGTTTTCTTAATTCCTATCTAATGGAAATTTGAAAAAGAGTGAGTGAGAAAAGAGACTATGTCTCAGATATATACATAGAACTGTTAAAACTGAAAGATAGTCCTCTTCTTTTAGTGTGAATCAATAAATATTTATTTTCTTATTTAAGTTTGGTTTGACCAACTGTATAGTGTTAATAAAATGAATATTTCTATACAATATGAAAATTATTTTAAAGAATATCAAATTTACCTTTCTCTGGTATTGTATTGATATGCATTTTCTAGATATTATAAACACTTAACAATCATTAACGTGTTGGCAAGTACATAAATTTTCTGTTTGGCATTCGACGTCTTTGAAATCTAAACTACTTCCAGCCTGTGTGCCTTTTTCACACCTGATTCTTTCTTTAAAATTAAATTCCGTCTCCTTCTCTTCCAAAATAACTTCAGGTACTAGTAGTTCGTGGAGATTTTCCGACAATATGTTATCATGAGATGAATTCTCTGATGTGAAAGAATATTTGCCCACTTTTGTGTCGTGAACAACTCTTTTGAGCCTAAGTGCTTCTTCTAACAGTTTCTCACTTGAAGCATTTCCTATCATGAATCTAGAAAATTTTTCTACAGCTTTTGATTGTCTATAAGGTGATATTTTATTTATTGCTGTCAGATCTTCGGATTTTATCTGATTGAATTCGTCACCAGAGACTGGCCTTTCAATTTTTCTTGTCCTTGAATTACGATGACCACGTCCTCTTCTAATATCTTTTACACCCCAATTGAATACAGATGGCACAGCATTTGTTTTTAACCTTGCTCTTTCACCTACATAATTTAAACAATTTTTAAAGTTGTTCTTACTTATAATTTAATAAAAATTTGTTAAACAAAATTTTTTTTTATTATAATTTACACACCCACAGATTTTTATATCTTACTAAAAATACTGAAATATATCTGAAAAAAATTCACTCGATAAATATATAAAATCGGCTATAAAGATTCAGTAGTGTAATAGTTAACTGATGTATTAACATTCAAATCTAATTTAAATAAATTAAATGTTCATTCAAAACAGGAAATATGCAATTCAGAAATCAAGAATAATAGCATACAATAGAAATTAACACTGTCTAGAAAAAATAGACTTATGTTAGTTTCACTATTATTATCTGTTATTATTATTGTTATAGCATTATGTCAATATCACACAATATAAATATTTAACAGAATTTGAGAACAAAAATGGTTATGCAAATTTATAGAATTCAAATTCATAAGAATATTAGAGATTCAATCATTAATTGTTATAATTACATGCAGTATGTATAAGATAAAAGTTTATATTAACAAGAAAAATAAACTGCAAATGAAAACAAATTTTTCTTCTTAAATTTTTCCATACTTTCATCAAACATTTAGATTTTTGTCATATTATATTTTGTTGAACAAATTTCATATTTAATAAAACTAATACTTCTAAAATGAAGTCACATAACCTATACCTTTGAAGTTACTGTTGAAATCATGCCACTTAATTTGTATGCAGCTTAAAAGGTATCATCTCATATTTCATTTTTTTCCTATTGCTTTCCCAGCTGTTATGTATACAAAACAAGGGAAAGTATTGGAATCATATCAAATTTGACTCTCTGGATTGTTTGCAAATCTACATGTGTTGAGAACATGTCTTGAACCTTAGAGTAAAAAAAAAAAAAATTCTATTTCCATGGATATGGTACAATTTTTTCATAATTTTCTTCTATTTCACTTAATATATAACAATTAATATTCATTTAATATCTCAAGATTGGATAATGATTAATTAAGAAAAAAAATCTGGCATGGTTGCCTGTGTATAAGAGACATTAATGCTATTAAATTTTTGTGGTTAAAGTTTGAGGAGCAGAGAGATACAGGGATTAAATTTAATGAAAATTTTATTCATTATTAGCATTTAAATTCTTTATAGAACTCGTCACTACTCTCAAAGTTAAGCTAAGCTTTTTGCCATTTTATAAACATTATATAAAAATTACTTTTTAAATAAAATTTCATAATAGACAGGAAAGTTATGCAATTCATTGCTAGATTTTTTTTCTTTCCTTTTTTCCTTTTACAATTTGTTGTTCATTTAATTATATATTAAGTGAAATAGAAGAAAATTATGAAAAAATTGTACCATATCCACTCTTCACGGATGCTTCATAGATGAATTTTGAGTACAGTATTTACTGATTTTTTTGGATGTTTGTGTTTTATGTTGGGGATGTTTGGAATGGAAATGTCTATGATGTAAGTTTGTTATGTCTGTGAATATTGCTCTGTCATAATAGACTTATGTTAGTTTGAATGTTGTTTTGTATGTCTGCAGTATGTACTTGTCATATGTATGGTTGTTGGGATGTAATAGTTTGTGTGCAAGTTTTTGATGTATTATGTTTGCTATTTGCTTATTCTGATATAAGTCAGTTTGAGCTAAAAGCTTGCAACTTACAAGATAGGCTGTATAGTTTTGTGCATAATGTATCATTTCCTAGCAGTGTTTTTAAAAATGTTATCCCAGTAGTTTTTTGTATATATGATCTATACAGTTTCTCAAACAGGATCCTGGTTGTTTTTTTATCCCGAGAAATCCTGCAAATTTGTTAAAAGTTCACTTTTTTCTAATTTTGTGTTAAGGTTGATGAAATTTTGCAAATAGAAAGTATAATTAACTCAAACTGTCAGAATACATTTGTATTTATTAATTTTAAACCTACTTATTAGTTAAAATTTTTGCTTGTTATGGCATGTCACAAATGGTCAGTAATCAATATGTAGCTTATTTGCGGCAAGACTCTGAAAATTCTTTATTTGTCAGAACCTGTAATATCTGGAATAATTGTGCTTATGCTGTCTTAATTTTTAACCATACCCAGTAACTTCAATAACTTTGTAACGCCAGGTTGTGAAAATTGAGCAAGGATACAAATGAGTACGAAGTATGCAAGTATAAAGTTTTTCTTCATAAACCTGAATATTAAAGACAAATGAACTGCCAAATTATTGGGCTATAAGCTTGATGTTTCTATTAAAGCAGCCAAGGTAGACAAATCAAGAATACTACAGAGTAAAGGAAGTACTACAATCTTGAAAACAAACTAGAAATCTTCAAGACTACAGGTGAAAAAACACATAACATCTGTCTTCTCTTAAATGCATTAAACACAATTCCACTCAGATCAATTGAATTGGAAAGGGAATTCTCAGTAGCAGGACTTTTTATTACTAAAATAAGAATTAGATTGAGTGATCGGAATATTGATCATCTTTGCTTTTTAAAATCTTATTATAAAAATTTACAATAATACTTTGTATTATGTTTTATTTAAAAATGAAAATTATCTTTTAAGATAGAAGTTTGATCTAAGTTCATTTTTTTTTTCAAATTTTCAACTGAATTGAAAGAATTTTTTTTTTGTTATGTGCAGTTTCCAGCAAACTTTAATAAATTTTTTCTGTTTGTAAAAATTTCTATGTAATTCAAAGGTAATTTTTAATATCTATCGTACACAGCATTATTAATATGATTTTGGATGTTGCAGAATGTATTAAATTACTTTAAAAAAATGAAAAAAAATTATGTCATTTGATTTCAAGATATTTTATGTATCTTAAAAATAACTAATTCTATCCCAGGATCCAGGGAAACAGTTCACTTTTTTCCTAAAATACCGGGAAATGAGAAAACCTAATGATCTAATCTATTATGGCAGTTATAAATTCTTCCATCTCTTCAAAGACACTCAAGTGAGTTTTGTCAAAATGATTCTGAATAAGATCATTAGGATGTCTACCATGGAGCTCCTCCAGACTCAAGACTGCATGATAGTATCTGTGTCTTTTGTGTATTGCATTGTATCCAGGTCAGGGTTACGTAAGTTTAATAATGCAAAGATTTTGGCTACAGTAGTTAGAGCTTTGTGGAATTGTGATGTTTCTTTTAAAGAGCTCTCATCTAAGAAATGATGTTATATGGATGATTTTCAATATGCTTTGTTAATGTTTATGTTTTCTCTTGGAGTTGTTCTAGTTCTTTGTGTGTCCAAAACATAATTCCAAATAAATATGCAAGTAATGAAGAAACAACATATGTGTTTATTGCTTTAAATGTATGCAGTTAGTAAAGTAAGTTCTTGACTTAAACATCTGTGATTATGACAATTGAAACTACTGTACTAAAAAATTATTTTTGAGTTCAGACAATCAGTTTCTCTCTCTCTCTCTCACTAATGACATAGAATAAGAATTAAATGTTAAAAATAATATTGTAATTCATAATAAACATAAACTTGAGTTACTATTACATAGAGTATTTGTATTTAACTACAAATCAGGAGGTTCATGCCATTAGCACCCAAAATATAAAAATGAAACTAACTTAACATGAGGTTCGTTGATGCAGAATTACCATTCTAATTTCAATTTTATAATAAGGTTAGAGAATTAATAATAAACAAACATTAACATAAAAATAAAATCAGTTTCATACAAAAGTCTAAATACTCTCTTGATATGATTATTGATTTCTTTGAACATGGTACAATCTTGAAACAGTCATGTTGTTCCCAATCAGCACCAAGAGTAACTAATATGGTTATATCCAAAATCATTCTTTATAGACTAGAGGTAATAGACTATAAGGAATTATTAACTTTTTTATAGTACTTATTATATATAGTACAATGTACTACTACTCTGTATTCTACTTTTTTACTACTAGTAATTTGTCTAGTAAGAAAAGCCAATATTGTAAGCCTATTATTATGATAAAGAGAATGAATATCTAAAGGTGCTGAAAGTTTTATCTAAAATCTTTCTACAAATTGTGTTTTTATTTCTCAGCCATTGCATTATAAAATTGGCTTTTCTTAGTTATCAAGTCATCTATAATCTAAGGTTGGCTAGTATGATGATATATGTTTATGTGAAACCTGGAAATCATATCCAAATATCATTATTTGTTTTAATGTATGTAATGAAATATGAGATGAAGTTCAGTGTTGAATTGTGTTTGTGTGCAAAAATACAATAACCATGATTGTGTGATGCTGTCAAATGTTTTCAATGTATACAATTTTGTCATGTGTAGGTTTCTATGTTTGTGCAATTGTCATAAAATGAGTGAATTTATGAGTTGTTCTGTTAGAATTTTGTATTGTCAAATATGTTGATATATTTTGTTTAAAATACACAGAGTGACTTTGTAGTGTGTTGGAAGGCATGTGACTGGTCTATACAGTCGACCCCCCTATAACGCGGTAGACACATTCCACTTTATAAGAATTTCACGTTGTAGGAATCCTTAAATACATGAGCCAATCACAACCCGGCATGTGTGCAGTTTATGGACTATGGCTGTTTGAAAGGTTTTCTTCCATAAAATTAATCGATTCTAGACTAATTTGACTCAACATTTCCAAAACACACATAATTTTTTGGGAATAATCTGTATAAACTATGCTATAAACAAAAAATTGTAGGATTACTTACTGAGTGTGCACCGTTCGACGATGCCATTGCTTAAGCTTGTTTTCATCGCCAAGCAGCGCACCAAACAGCGGGCACATTTTCTGATAAATTATTTTTCTGTGAAAAATTCGTTGAACTTTGGAGACATCATTAATACAAATAATTTTTATGGCCGTTGAATAAGAAATGTTTTTTTCACAAGAAATGTATAAAATTACAGTATTGTATTAGATTTACAGTACCTAATTTATATACTGTACAGACGATAATAAACTCAACTTACCCGCCTAAACTCTCCGTAGAGTGTAAGT